CTCTCACACGCCAGTGACACTCACAACCATCATGTTTATCAAAATGTTATCAGCATGACGACCAATAAAGATAGTACGACATGAAGATAAGCTGGATTTAAGTATAAAAATAATCCTTAGTAAATCCCAGATTAGCCGTTATCATGCATCTTATCTGTGTTAGACACCGAGGGACACGTACAAGTTCAGGAATGTTTATGTTTGATCTGCGCTTGTCTTCAAAGTCTTCAATGCGAGATCCACCTTTGGTTTGGGTCAAAGGGTCATTGCTTTTCATGGGTGAATTCCATTAACATTTTACAGTATTTTTTTTTCATGTAAGTTGGTTACAAGATTATAAGTGCATACGTATGCTTATATCCTAAGTGAATGAAGTGTCTGAACTAATTTCAGAAATTTATTTGATTTTTCAGAAAAAATTATTTTATAGTATTTAGATAATACACATTGGTACGTAGAAGTATTGTAAATTACTTTTGCGAGGAAATGAAAAATTTCCTAATTTGCTGCTTAACAATTTTGCCAAACTATTGAAAGAAATGAAAATTTGGGCAAAAAAAACAAACAATTTGGTGAAAATGTGGCAGAATAAGGAATTTTTTTTCAACCCAATAATTATTGTAATGCCCATGAGAATTAATTGTATATTACAAGGATACCTCAAAGTATGCACAAAGACATTACAACGAGAGTATCGACCAACGCGCAGCGGCGTACTGTCTGAGTGCATACTTTGAGGTGTCTTGGTAATAACTTTATTATTATACATCTTTTCCTTCCAAGGATACATCATGGGAATGCCAAAATCCAAAAAGTTTAGAACAGAATCTGTGAACTTTTTTGTTTGGAGTCCGGTCAAACCCTGGTGGCAGCCATGTTTGTTTTTATTATTAGAGGACGCTTACGTGCTTAATCATTCCATATTTGGAATTCGCATTTCCTAATATGGTAGAATGAAAATACCCCGTAAAATACGGCAAACTTACGATACACTGTAACTCATGGCGTTACAGTGACAGATGTATAATAATATTATATAATAAACAACTTGATCAATGAATTTTTTCGACTCTGTTTTGACGTTGTTATAAACTAGTGATCATTAATGTCAATGAATTACATAAAAATATTGTACAGTTATGGTTATTGTAGAGAAATAACCATGCATGAACATTATTATCAATGAGTTTTATTCTAAAAAATGGAAATGAAATGTAGATAATTCATACATTAGATTAATGGTA